AGTCAACATAGAATTGGAAGTCTTAGCCTCAGCAATCAGACAACACAAAGGAATAAAAGCCATCCAAGTCAGCCAGGAGGAAGTCAAACTTCCACTCTTCACAGATGACATTATACTTTATATGGAAAACCCAAAAGATTCCACCAAAAAAATGCTATAACCGATCCATGAATTCAGCAAAGTTGCAGGATATAAAATCAATGCACAGAAATTGGTTGCATTCTTATACACCAATAATTGAAGCAACAGAAAGAGAAATCAAGGAATTGATCCTATTTACATTTGCACCAAAATCCACAAAATACCTAGGAATAAACATAACCAAATAAACATAACCAAAATCTATACAATGAAAACTATAGAAAGCTTATGAAAGAAATTGAAGAAGACACACAAAAAATGGAAAAATATTCCATGCTCACGGGTTGGAATAACAAACATTGTTAAAACGTTGATACTCCCCAAATCAATCTACATATTCAATGCAATCCCTATCAAAATGATATCAGTATTTTTCGCAGAGCTAGAACAAACAATCCTAAAATTTGTATGGAACCAGAAAATACCCCAAATAGCCAAAGCAATCTTGAAAAAGAAAACCAAAGCTGGAGGCATCATACTTCTGGTCTTTAAGATGTATTACAATGCTGTAATCATCAAGACATTATGGTACTCGCAAAAAACAGACACTCAGATCAATGCAACAGAAGAGAGAACCCAGAAATGGACCCACAAATGTATGGCCACCTAATCTGTGACAAAGCAGGAATGAATATCCAATGGAATAAAGACAGTCTCTTCAGCAAATGGTGCTGGGAAAACTGGACAGCGACATGCAGAAGAATGAACCTGGAACACTTTCTTAAACCACACACAAAAATAAACTCAAAATGAATGAAAGACCTAAATGTAAGATGGGAAGTCATCAAAATCCTAGAGGAGAAAGCAGGCAAAAACCTCTTTGACTTGGCCACAGCAACTTCTTACTCAACATGTCTCTGGAGACAAGGGAAACAAAAGCAAAAATGAACTATTGGACCTCATCAAAATAAAAAGCTTCTGTGCAGTGAAGGAAACAGTCAGCAAAACTAAAAGGCAACCAATGAAATGGGAGAAGATATTTTCAAATGACATATCAGATAAAGGGTTAGTATCCAAAATCTATAAGGAACTTACCAAACTCAACACCCAAAAACCAAATAATCCAGTGAAGAAATTGGCAAAAGACATGAATAGACACTTTTCCAAAGAAGACATCCAGATGGTGAACAGACACATGAAAAAATGTCCAACATCACTCAATATCAGAGAAATACAAATCAAAACCACAATGAGATATCACCTCACACCTGTCAGAATGGCTAACATTAACAACTCAGGCAAAAACAGATGTTGGTGAGGATGTGGAGAAAGAAGATCTGTTTTGCACTCCTGGTGGGAATGCAAACTGGTGCAGCCACTCTGGAAAACAGTATGGAGGTTGCTCAAAAAATTAAAAATAGAACTACTCTATGACCCAGTAATTGCACTACTAGGTATTTATCCAAGGGACACAGGTGTGCTGTTTTGAAGGGGGACATGTACCCCAATGTTTTTAGCAGCACTATTGATAATAGCCAAAGTATGGAATGAGCCAAATGGCCATCAACTGATGAATGGGTAAAGAATATATGGTATATGTATACAATGGAGTATTACTCCGCAATCAAAAAGAATGAAATCTTGTCATTTGCAACGACATGGATGGAACTGGAGGGTATTATGCTAAGTAAAATTAGTCCATCAGAGAAAGACAAATATCATATGACTTCACTCATATGAGGAATTTAAGATACAAAACAGATGAATTTAAGGGAAGGGAAGCAAAAAAGTATAAAAACAGGGAGAGGGACAAAACGTAAGAGACTCTTCAATATAGAGAACAAACAAGGTTGCTGGAGGGTTGTAGGAGGGGGATGGTCTAAATGGGTAAGGGGCATTAAGGAATCTACTCCTGAAACCATTGTTGCACCATATGCTAACTTACTTGGATGTAAATTAAACAATAAATACATTTAAAAAAGAGAGAGAGATCACCTCACCCATGTTAGAATGACTAAAATTAAAATCATAGGAGAAAACAGCTGTCGGCGAGGATGCAGAGAAAGGGGGATTTTCACACTATTGGTGAAAATGCATTCTGGTGTAGCCACAGAGGAAAATGGTACAGAGGTTCCTCAGAAAGCTAAAAACAGAACTACCATATGACCTAGTAACCAGACTACTAGATAATCACCTAAAGGATACAAAAATACTGATTTGAAGGGATATGTGCCTCCTATGTTTATAGCAGCATTATCAATAATAGCCAAATTATGGAAAAAGCCCAAATGTCCATCCACTGATGAATGAATAAAGAAAAAGTGGCATGTACATATAGAATGGAATATTACTCAGCCATAAAAAAAATGAAATCTTGCCATTTGCAATGAAATGGATGGAGGTAGACAGTATAATGCTAAGTGAAATAAGTCAGTGAGAGAAAGGCAAATACCATATGATTTCATTCATATGTGGAACTTAAGAAACAAAACAAATGAACATAGCAGGGAAAAAGAGAGTGGCAAACTATAAAACAGACTCTTAAAAATAGAGAACAAACTAAGTGTTGCTGGAGGGGAGGTGGGCAGAGATGGATAGGTTATATTGATGATGGGTATTAAGAAGGGTACTTGTGATGAGCAATGGGTGTTATATGTAAGTTATGAATCACTAAATCCTACACCTGAAACTAATATTACATTGTATGTTAACTAAGTGGAATTTAAGTAAAAACTTGGGAGAAAAAAAAAGAATGAAATCTTGCTATATTCAGTGACATGTATGGAGCTGGAGAGTATAATGGTAAGCAAAATAAGTCAGAGAAAGACAAATTCCATATGATTTCACTCATATATGGAATTTTTGAAACAAAACAAATGATTAAAGGGAAAAGGAGAGAGAGAGAGAAACCAAGAAACAGACCCTTTATTGTACCCAGAACATAGTCCTGGGTACAGAACATAGACCCAGAACATAGTCCTGGTTACCAGAGGAGAGGGGAGTGGGGGGATGGATGAAATAGGTGATGGGGATTAAGGAGTGCACTTGCTGTGATGAGCACCAGGTGATATATAGAATTGTTGAATCAATATATTGTAACCTAATATTATATTGTACGTTAACAGGAATTTTTAAAAAATTAACAAAATTTTTAAAAATAGGCAAAGCGGTTGAATAGATATTTTTCCAAAATAGACATACAGATGGCCAACAGACATATGAAAAGATGCTTGACATCAATAACTATCAGGGAAATGCAAATCAAAACCACAATGAGATACTACCTCACACTTGTCAGATGGCTAGAATCAAAAAGAGAAGAAATAACAAATGCTGGTGAGGATGTGGAGAAAAAGGAATCCTTGTGCACTACTGGTGGGAATGTAAATTGGTTCAACCTTTGTGGAAAACAGTACAGAAGTTTCTCAAGAAATTAAAAATCGAATTACCATATGATCTAGTAATTCCTTTACTGGGTATTTACCCAAGAAAAATTAAAACACTAATTTGAAGATATATATACACTCCTACATTCATTGCAGCATTAATTATAGTAGCCAATCAAGTCATGATCTCACAGTTCATGAGTTCAAGCCCTGTATCAGGCTCTGTGTTCACAGTGCCAAGCCTGCTTCAGATCCTCTATCACCCTCTTTCAGCCTCTCTCTCTCTCTCTCTCTCTCTCTCTCTCTCTCTCTCAAAAATAAATAAATGTTAAATTTTTTAAAAAAATTATAAAAGCCAAATTATGGAAGCAACCCAAGTGTCCACTGATAGGTAAATGGATAAAGTAGATGTGATATAAATATATATGTATATGAAAATATAGGAATATTTATTACTCAGCCATAAAAAAGAATGAGATCTTGCTATTTTGACAACACAGATGGATATAAAAGTATAATGGTAAATGAAATAAGTCAATCAGAGAAATAGAAATATCATATGATTTTACTCACATGTGGAATTTAAGAAACAAAACAAATGAATAAACAAAGAAGAAAAAAGATTTAAAAAACAGACTTAAATACAGAAAACAAATTGGTGGTTGCCAAAGGGCAGATGGTTGGGAGGAGAGACAACATAGATAAAGTGAATTAAGAACACTCTTTTCTTGATAAGCACTGAGTAATGTTAGAATTGTTGAATCATTATATCGTAGACCTGAAACTAGTATCACCGTATGTTAATTATCTTAAATTAAAAAAAAAAAAAAAAAAAGAAAGATATGTGAGAGTATGTAGCTATGATAAAATTAGTCTGGACAATAATATGGCTGGAGATAATAATATAATAATATGGATTTTTCAGTGAAACAAACAGGACTATTAAATATAATGTACCTCTGTTTCTCACTCCTGATGAAAGAAACAGACTTGAAATAAAAATATCCACCACTTTCATCACATTATGCTTATAGAGCTGAGGGGAAAGGAAATGGGCTAATTGGTATAGTAGTTTTTTAAAGAAGTGAATATGAGGGGTGGCCTGTCCATGGTTACAACCTTTTAACCTTTACATGAGGTTTCTTGCCTTTCTGAAATTCAAACCGTTGTATAAACCTAACATCTTCTCCTGATAAAGCCCACCCACTCCAACCCCATTCCGCCACAATTCACTTCCAAAGCAAATGGTATGTATTTAGGGCACTCAGTGAGTAACAACAAAAGTAAGACCAGTGTATCTTCCTGACGACAGCAATTTTGGGGACTTTAGGGCTAGTGAAGCCACAGGGAAGCTGAGCTGGAAACAGTTTTGCATTGTGAATCATTATCAAAATTGTGAGCTCAATTCAGATTACAAAATCTTTATTACTGTGATGTTACAAAAACCCAAAAAGAACACAGCTGGATTCTCAGATGACAGGTGAATCTTCCAATTTCTGGCTGAAGACACATCAATTTTGTGGTAATAAATTGTGCAAATTTGATGTGGACATTACTGTATTGGGATACATGTGGAACCCTACTAGGTTATTATTACAGTGACTTTTTTCTGGCAGTAAGACTTACTTTATGATAAAAATTTAGCAGCCTATGGAGATCCCCCCTCCCATAGGGAACTCTCTCCACACAAAAACTTTCTGGAATTTGATTAGCTTAATTTACTGAAAGTTTAGCTTTTAGTTTTATGGTAAACAACAGCAGCATTAAAACCCTACAATTTGCTCCCTGCCTATATTTCCAGTTTTAACTCTTAACTTACCTTCCTCAAATTCATATTTCGGCCAAGGTGTTCTGCTTACTGCCACTGACCCTGGGTTGCATTTTCCTTACTTTTTTCTGTCTTCTCTCCTCTCCCAAGCCCTTTGAGATCCAGTTAACATCCTGACTCTTCTTCAATAAAACCTTGCTCAATCTTTATAGTTTGAAGTGATTCTCACTCCTCTGAATTCCTATAACAAATAAATTATGGAAAATTATTGTAAATCGTAACAATAAATGCTTGATATATTATTATAATATTTATATCTCATAATTATACTGGACAATTTTTCTGTTTATTAACTTTTATTCATCTTTTGTTTTATGAGATTCCAAGATACTCTCAGGTTCAATGATTTACTAGAACTCACAGAATTTGGAAAAGCTGTTATATTCACAGTTGCAATTTATCACAGTGAAAGGATACAGATTAAAATCAGCAAAAGCAAAAGATACATAGGACAAAGTCCAGGAGAAACCAGGCACATGGGTCCAGTTACCCTCTCCTATTAGAGTTGCATAGACAGCGCTTAGTTCTGCCAGGAACAATGTGTGACAACATTTGAGATGTATTATCAACCAGAGATGCTCATTAGAACCTTGGTGTCCTAGGTTTTTATTATGAGTCAGTCACGTAGCAACACCATTCTTACTCTCCCCCCCCACCAGAGGTCAAACAATACAGCATGGCTGAGGAAAGATAAAAACAGGCATTCACCATAAATTTCACTGTTAGCATAAACCATCTGCTGTGGTCCAAGGTCTCAGGTATACAAAGGCATGATATTCCAAGGGCTCAGAGTTTGTCTCCCAGGAGCTAGTTAAGAACCAGTCCATCTGGGATGTACAGGATTTGAGCACACCAAGCCCATTGAGTTAGCACTCTACTATGCAATTTATTTGGTAATATTGAGCTGTCTAACCATATTTGATGACTCTTCGGTGTCAGTGTAGAACAGAATCAACATTTTCTCCTCTGTGTTTAGTTACTACTCAATAAATATTTAAATTTTTTCATCATTATATATCTCCTACTCATTACTTCATATACCAAATACATTGTTCAGGTTTGTTATATCTTTCCTTTGCAGAGCAACATAAAGAATGTCAATTCTTGGCCAAATTCTCTTCTTTATTACAATGACATATTTTTATAGATATTTCATCTAAGTTTATGCAAGTAGAGCAGCAGCTAGAGTGACATTTTTCAATAGGAAGTGAGAATGTGGAATGTGTACAGTTGTCCATTTGCATTATAAAACTAGAACAAATAAATGTGAAACCCAAGTTGTTTCTTTGAGGCCTGATGTGTCCCCCATCTCACCTAAAATAAGGGACTTACGTTGAAAGGTGTACATGTTTTTTTGTTGTTGTTTTGTTTGTTTGTTTTAAATATTTGTTTATTTTGAAGAGGGAGGGGCTGAGAGAGAGAATCCCAAGCAGCCTCCATGATGTCAGTGTAGAGCCTGATGTGGGGCTCAAACTCATGAACTGTGAGATCACAACGTGAGCCAAGATCTCAAGAGCTGGATGCTTAACTGACTGAGCCACCCTGGTGTCCCAATATTTTTAAATAAGAAAAAAAAAAGGCCATAATGCCTAGATTTTATGTAAATAGATATGATTTAGCTAAGAATACTATTAGTGAAGAATATCAAACTAGCTTCAAAGCTAGAATGTATGGGGTGAAAGGCAAAATAATGTCATAATAAGAGTATGTGACTGGATATCAGGACTTCTGCTATGATAGGGACAATGTTATCTATTTACCACACTTTTAGGATATCCATATTCCCCAGCTGTCCTGGCAGTTAAGTTGAGGTCATCTGATTAATTCTCTTGAGTGAAATCTAACATGGCACTTAGTCCCAGGTGGCTAAAAGTGAGTGGAGGCTAAGTATTCCAGAAGGTGGGATTGCTTGACCTCTCTTAGACTTTATAAAAGAGGAAACAAATATTTGTTGTATTAAAGCCATTCAGATTTCAGGCCATTTGCTACTACAGCCAAACTTAGCCTGACCTGGCTACTATACCTGCACCATAATAACTCTGCAATTAGCAGTACAGTTGACCCTTGAACAATATGGGGGTTGGAGGTGCCAACCCTCCTACAATTGAAAATCCACAAATGATTTTTGACTTCCCCAAAACTTAACTACTAACAGTAGTTAACAGTCTACTGCTGACTGGAAGCCTTGCCTCTAACATAAACAGTTGGTTACATATTTTGCATATTATATGTATGATATACTGTATTCTTACAGTAAAGTAAGCTAAAGAAAAGGAAATGTTATTAAGAAAACCTTAGGGAAGAGAAAAGACATTTACAATACTATACTATATAGAAAAAAATCCACTATAAACGGATTCATGTATTTCAACCACTTTTTAAGGGTCAACCATATAAACAAAGGCAAGAGGCTTCGACTCTTCAGCTTCTAGTTTCCTGGAGCATAAAATGCATACGTTAGCTCTCTCTAAAGTTACTCTTAACTAACAATGGTCATACAATTGGTTAAAAGCAAGGGCCCGGTAGATTCAATTACTGGCAGTGTCACTTAACTGTGATGTTAATCTCATTTGTCCTTTTCCACAAAATGAGGATATTAATGGTTAATACATATCATCATTTTTTTCAACGTTTATTTATTTTTGGGACAGAGAGAGACAGAGCATGAACGGGGGAAGGGCAGAGAGAGAGAGAGGGAGACACAGAATCGGAAACAGGCTCTAGGCTCTGAGCCATCAGCCCAGAGCCTGACGCGGGGCTCGAACTCAGGGACCGCGAGATCGTGACCGGGCTGAAGTTGGACGCTTAACCGACTGCGCCACCCAGGCGCCATATCATCATTTTTAAGATGCACACGGAAAGCACTAGCCTGGTATATAGAAAGAGTTCTAAAAGTCAACAATTAATAGTCATACCCATAACAATAACAAGCACATTGGTTAAAAAAAGTTTACAAGTCAACAATAAATTTTGTTTTCTAAACATCCTTGCCTCAGCAATGATATGGTTAACAGTAGTAAGTGCCTTTTATATCCAGCATTCTTAAGCTTCTTCCTAACAACAGAAAAAGATAACAAAGTTAGCTTCTCCATTATTGTCCTGTAGTCATGTTTATGATACCAAAAAAATGAGAAAACTTGGTTCACTCTAGTTCATGGAACTCTTACAGCAAGAAAAAAAAGTAAAAATGTTCTGCTGGGGTGCTCCAGTGTCAGAACCTGCTTTGATGATAAAGCGACATAAAAGTTTTTCCCCAGGGCAATATTCCCAACTATGAGACTTAGAGTCATTTTGAATTTCCTTGAATATATAGAATATATAGAATATATAGAAATGCCTCATTTCTATCTGAAAAGGAAGTTCACTGTAGCTTTGAAGCAAATATGTAATTACTAATGTATCAATCATGTGTTATAACTGCTTGAAATTTTTTTAATGCTGAACAGATAGTATACAGATGATGATCTGTGGTCTACTAGGCATCATTGTCCACCCCTTTCTACATCTCCTCTGCCTCACAGGTAAGATGTCAAAACTACATTTTCCAGAACAACTAACAATCTGAGTCACATTCTGACAATGAGAAGCACTTAGGCTAGATCTGGAAGGTTGAAGAGAAGCCAGGAGTCTATGCTAGCAATGTGAGCAGATGAACAGTCTAACAAAGGCCTCTGGACAAAACTCCAGAGAATTGTCATCCACTTTTGAGACCCCAGCTGGAATGCTTAAATTAACATTTGTTTTTCTGATTGAAATCTGACTGACATAGAAATCTGACTAATATTATAAATATTAGTAAAGATTTTCTTGGAACTGCTTACAACAATAGATTAAGAATAAAAATTAAAACCTACTAAAAGACTAGAAAAATTTTTAAGTTTATTCATTTATTATTTCCGGGGGAGAGAGAGAGAGAGAGAGAGCACAAGTGGAGGAGGGGCAGAGAGAGAGGGAGACACAGAATCTGAAGCAGGCTCCAGGCTCTGAGTTGTCAGCACAGAGCCCAACACGGGGCTCGAACCCACCAACCATTAGATCAAGACCTGAGCCAAAGTCGGACACTTAACCAACTGAGCCACCCAGGGGCCCCAAGATTAGAAAATTTTTAACCCTTTGTCTTAAAATTCATTTCGAACTATACTCAAGAAATTTTATTTGAATGCAGTTTAATTCCCTTTTAATGCTACATAATGTTCTTTATCTTTCTTTCTCTTTAGGCCCAGTGTTATTTTTGTACAACTGTATAGGCTCCTAAAATGAAGCGGGAAATAATGAGTACCCACCAATAGAAAATTTAAATATTCTGTTTTAGAGATGCCTGGGTGGTTCAGTTGGTTGAGTGTCCAACTTCAGCTCAGGTCATGATCTTGCAGTTTGTGGGTTTGAGCCCTGTGTCAGGCTCTGTGCTGACAGCTCAGAGCCTAGAGCCTGCTTCAGATTCTGTGTGTGTGTGTCTCTCTCTCTGCCCCTCTTCTGCTTGCGCTCTGTCTCTCTTTCTTAAAAGTAAATAAACATTAAATATATGTTTTTAATTTTTCTGTTATAAATTGTACTTGGCCTGTATTTGGCCTGTCTTTACAGATTCTTAAAGGTGCCTTGGCCGAAATAGAATACCAGAGACTAATTTTTAAAATATTTTCCTGTGGTCCCTTAGATCTACAAATTAAATCAAGAAACATGTGCTGAACACCTATACTGCTTGTGCTATTTAAAAGCTTAAAATTCAGCAAGAAAAATACAAGCATGGGAATGTAGAAAACGATGAAACATATTTAAATAATACTTCAAGACAACAGTAGATGAAATGTTGCAAGGTAATGGAAGAGTCACTGCTCACATTATTTACCAGAAAAATTATTTACTCAGAAAAACTGTGGGGTCTTTTTATGCACACTTTCTCTGCCTTGCTGTCAGCCTTTAAATATCATTAATAATAGTTCTGCTTAATGTCTTGGTATAGGGTTCTAGCAGAGCCCATCATTCTAGATGATGCAAAGCCAGCCAGGTTCACAGCAGTAATTGTTGGTTAATTATATGATGAACTTTGTCTTCCCTAACTTTGCTTTCTTTCTCTATATTTTTATGAAGGTATATTGTGATATTTTTAGTTCCTGTTGAGGTGTGAATTATAGGCAAAGACTGAATAGACAAGAAACTTCAAGTAACAACATAGAAGGAAAT